TTTTGACAATTATTTACATTAATTTAAACCATTCTTGAGCGGCGCACAAAATACCGATTTGCCCCTTCCATTGCAAGATAGAACAATAACATAATAGCCGTCGGATATAACGGTCGTCCTGAACCGCAGTTTTTTTTTTCAAATCTCTTAAATATTTAGATAAGCTCTAGGATTCAAAAATTTTAGCATATCTTTTAGACTAGACCTTAATAAATAACTAATTTTGTCAAAAAATCAAACCATTAACCTGCCCCTCCCCCCTTACTCCATATTCTTCTATTATGTAGAATTAGAAAAATCTTCGACTACCTTATTCATTTCAAAAACCTTGCCATTGCCACCTCTCGTAAGATGTTTGTTTCCTAGAATTAGAATAAATTGGAATTTTTAGCAACGTATTACATTAAAATAATGAATCTTATCGAACACATATACATAAACAGATGACTAAGAGTAAAAGGGCCTCCTTATCAGAAAATATAACGAAATATTTAAAGTTCCCAAATAGCCGGCTCTCTGTTACGGCTCCTTGTCACGGCTCCCTACTTAGATTTCGTTTTCGCCTAGATTTAAATTATAATTATGACATACAACATTGCCGGCGAACAAATTTAAATACTGTTATATAATCAGTTTTTTAAAGAAACCGATTTCTTTTGGAAATGTGCTATTTTACAAATCATTTGGATTCGATTCGAATTTATTATATTTAGTATATACACTTGAATTGTATATGCTATAAATATGTAAATGTAAAATGTTGTGTTTCATTCTTTTATCGTTGCAGTTCTAAATATAACAATATAATAATATTATAGAGACGTTCGAGAAGTTGAAGAAGAAACACAAAAGCTCATAAAATGTTTAAAATAAATAAACTTTTATATTTTACTTATATAATTTTTTTTCTGTTATATGGTTTAAGAATAGAATCGGGTGCATAAACTTGAATTTAAATTATAATACTTAATGAAATTCAAAATTTATGCAAGGATATTTTTTTTTTTTTGTTAGGGTTGAAACACTGAACCTTGTGAATTTTTGTATAGAAAATATTTTTGTTTATCCTAGAGAAATTTTTTTACTCTAAAAAAAAAATTAATTTAAATTATGTGGGAGTTTTTTTTTGCTTTTATTTATTTATTTTTTTTTTTTGATTCTCATAAAATATAAGATTCTAAAGCTTAGATTATAATGAAAAAGAATACTAAAACCTGAACCCGTTAAATCTTTAATACCTTTTTTTTGTTTTTGTGGAAAAGTTTTATGATTTTCTGAATAATATTATGTAAGGTGTATAATGGTTGGTACCAGCTCAATTCAATATAAAATATAATTTAATGAAAATTTAATTAAATCGTATGGTATTAAAAAATTGTTAAGTCAAGAAGAGAAAAAAAAGAAATTCATTCTCTTACTCTATGAATTTTTTATAATATTATGAAATTAAATTGAAATTTAATATTAATTCTATATGCATATATTCTAGGTAGATTGTGTAAGTGACCCTCACAATAATTAAGTTAAAATGTGAGAACTTGAATTTTTTTTTGCAGAAAGTAGATTACATTCGGATTAGGTGAAATAGAGGATTGATTTAAAAATTTAAAGAGGTAATTATCCAACAAACCCCATGCAGTTCGCCACACAAGACCCCCTATCCGAACCAGCCAACCTCCCTGGCGAAGCTTAAAAGCCGCGCAAAAGACACCCCGGAAAGGTCCCCCATGCCATCGTAAAAATAAGGCCTTAAGACACGCCTTCTGTTTCACATCAGAAGCGGACAGGCACAGAGCGCATGCTCTACATCCTCCACCTCCGTCACATCCCGACATCCACGACATACATCCGTCATAACAACCCCAAGCCTCCTGGTCATTTTAACCAAAAGGCAATTTTAACCAAAAGACTAACCAACGCGTCTACCATGCCAGCATCTCCGCCAACCCCAGCCCTCGCAAGACGATCTGCCATCTCATTACCTCATATACCGCTGTGACCGGTAACCCAGCACACAGTCACCCTGCACATAGCACAAAGTGCCCTAAGTGCCCCCCTGCATCTACCCACCAAAGCCGTCCCAACCGAATAGGACGCGAGGACCCCCATCGCCGCCCTACTATCCACAAAAATTGCCAGCTCGCATCCCCTCCGATTGTGGCAGCCGATTCCTCCACCCTGAGCACCGCCAAAATCTCTGCCTGGAAGGCCCTACACCCATCAGGCAGCCTAATCGATAGCTCTATCCCCAACTCCTCGGAGAAGACCCCCCGCCCCCGTACCATCCATGGTCCTAGACCCATCCGTAGATAGGTAACCCATCATGCGTGCATAACCCCCCACACTCCAATCCTCCCTTTGTGGAACCACAACCCCATAATCAATTCTCCAGTCGGTATATGGCAGCACAAAATCAGGCCTAATGTTCATAGGCCGCATTCCATATTTTCCCAGAATTCTACTGTGTGTGTATTCCCTGTTTTTAAATATGCCCATCGCCTGTAACCTAAAGGCACTCCTCGCACCCGCCGCTTTCACCTGCTCACCCACCGGATCCAGGTCGAGAATAACCTCCAAACCCAAAGTGGGTGTAGCACGCAATGCACCTGTCACCCGAACAAACGCCATACGCTGCGCCCTCTCCAACTTCCTCCTTTACCGCTGGCCACCAGATCAATGCCCCATACGTCAGAATAGGCCTAACCACACACTCATACAACCAGTACACCAGACGAGGACTCCCTCCCCAACGTCAACCAGTCGCCCCCTTCCAGGCAAACAACGCATTCCTTACTATCCATAATCACGCCCAGGTATCACACACAACCCGCCAAACCCAGTTCAACTCCCGCCATCCTAGGCAGGGCAAACCCGGGCATCTTCCTTTTCCTCGTGAACGACACCAGCTCCGTTTTTACGGGGTTCACAGAAAGACCACATCCCCGCGCCCAACCATCCAGTCTATCAAGACCCCCCTTCATTATTGCACTCAGGTCTTCCGGGTATTTATCCGAGAGTAGGATTGCCATAGGCATAGTAACTCTACATCCAACATCCCCCAGTAGCCTAAGATAACCCTCCATAACCATGACCCATAGATATGGCGACAGGCCCTCTCCCCCTGAGAAGTGCCTCTCAGCGACAGCATCGTCACCTTACTTGAGCCCCACTCGGCCACCACCACCCAAGTAGTAAGCATTTGCCCTATCCATCTGATTATGTCTCTTCTACTCCTACATTTTCGAGAACCCCTACGATAGCCTCAACCTTCACATTATTGAAGGCACCCTCAATATCCAAGAAAGCAGCCAATATCCTTGTACTGCAGAGACACCCCCCCTGAGTGACCACCGCGTGCAGCGCCGTCTCCACAGATCTCCCTCTTCTGTAGGCATGCTAGTCATTTGACAGACCCGACTCCTTTTCCTCATTCCTTATATATTTTTCCACTAACCTCTCCATGGTCTTCAGCACAAAACACGACAAGCTGATTGGCCGGAAATCCCTCGCGCTGACATGACAATTCCTACCAGGCTTCGGCACAAAAACCGTCCGTACTCTCTTCATTCTCTAGGGACATACCCCATATACAGGCGGCTACGAAAAATTACCACCAACCAATCAATGATCACTCTCGGTGCCCTCCGCAGCATAATAGGCCACACCCCATCCGTTCCCGGAGACTTGTAAGGGCCAAAAGACTTAATAGCCATTCTCAAGGTTAAAACTACAAAAGATGAACAGGGTGGAGAACGGGGTCTGCGTTCTATGGCTAGAGGAGGACGAAGCGATGGAGTACTTATCGTGTGAATGCGAGGTGGTGGCCCATTTGCGTCTGCGGGGAATTTGTGACCCCGATTGAAATCTTGCGGCTTGGTGTGGCTGCTATACTGCAGATTTTCAAGGGCCTAGGTATAGGACTAATGTAGAATGGGATGAGAATCATAAAAGGTCCTATTGGGCGACGTGGGCAGGGTATAAGGGCCCCGGTCCCGGACGGAGGAAAAAAAAATCATACAAAATACCCTAATGGATTATCCGCTCTTAAAATAAGAATAAATTATATAATTTCAATAAAATAAATTAATTCTCAAGAAATTTAATAAATTTCTACATTTTTTAGACATATGTATGTTATATAAAAAAAAGGGCATGTGTTTTATTATAGAGCATCCACAGCTCTCCATCTATAATTTATTGATTCAAACTTCTGAATACTGAGAAATTATCCTGCGTTATTATCCTCCTGAATAATAACGCCTCTTTTAATACATAGTTTCTATTTTGGATTCATTTTCAATAGAATTTTCATTAGAGCTTCATTAAAGAAAATGATGAACATAGAGTTTTCCTCGATATGAGTCCAGTTTTCTCGTATCTCTACAACAACTGCTATTATCTGTTAGTTTTCTCAACACTTCTTCTTTTAAATGTCTGTTCAGATTATGCAAAACCTGCTTATTACAACAAAACCTACAGCGTGTTAACTGCCCATTCCTCTCATCACGATTTGCTTCAAACAATTTTTGTCATACCTCTCCTTAAGTCGTACCCCTTAACTTGTTGCAGTAGAGTATCTAATTTAAGGAGCCTTCAAACTAGAACAATTGCTTCCGGTTTTAATAAGAAATTAATTTCTCATGAGACTGCAAACTTTCTTTATCATTAAAATACTCGTTCCATAGTATGATCTCATTCATAATTTAATAAAATATTTTACATGTTTTTCGATAATAATTTTCTCTTAACCACAATATATTCCAAATTTCTAATTATTGAACAAAAAAACTACTGTTCTTCTTAATATAATCCCGGTTCACATATAAATATTTAGTTTTAATTTTAATTGCACCAAAATAGTTTAGCTAACCCATTAATATTTTCTTGTTAAATTTAAAAAAAAAACTTATAAACCATAAAACTTTTGAAGGATAAAACATATTCTTATAATCTTCTTTCACAAAACCAGAAACAGTAAAACAAAAAAAAATAATAATTACCTTGACTTCTAATTTTCATCTTGAGTACTTTCTTGTGTATGCATCCACAGAAAATAGCCGGATCTTCTTGTTGAAAGAAAATTCTAACAAAAAAAAGAAAATAGAGCAAACAAAAATAGAAAATAATTAAAATTCTAATTGAAAATTTCGATGTTATTAAGTGATAAGGATGATGAGGATTAAAGAATTTTTTGTTTTTCTCTGTTGGTATTTTGCAACACAAAAATATTTCTAGAATATGATGAGGATGTAAGTAAAGTATAAAAAGAAGTGCAATAAATGTGAATGAGAAAAAAAACACATATGAGAAAATCTTAATTGATTCTGACTTTGATATAGTCAACTACAATATATGGGTGTCCTCTTTGAAAAGGACTCTTGTTCTTATATTGCTTTTCATCTGTTCTTTTAACACTATGTGTGATGTGTGTTATCTCATAACTATTATTTTAGTATCCTGTATTTATAATATTTTGAATCTTTTGTGTTTCTTGTGTTTTTTTTTCACACTTTCTTTATTTTACATTCATAGTTTTTTTTTATTATAGAATTTTCATTAATAGTTTTTCAGGTTGTTGTTGCTGCAGTACTCGAATATAAATGCAAATGAGAAGCTTGGGAAATCATCAGGTTTTTTTTTTGTGTGAAAATTTTCAAAAGAATAAAAAACAATAAATGATTCTTTTCTTTTTTTGCTTTTTTCTCATTTTACTTTGAAGATTACTTTTTATAATACAATAAAGGATAAATATGACAGACAGACAGAGAGAATCGGAACCAGTGTACATGTAAATACATACAAATATATTGAATATTTCCTAGCTATTTAAAAATCGTATTTATATTTTACTCGTACAGCAAATACATATTGAATTGCAGAGTGGAACAATGTGAAGTTTTACAAACAACTAGAACTTTTATTAACAAAATGGCAAGGCGGTACAGTTTCAAGCAAAAATCATTGGTGAACACTAGAAGGAATTGAGAGAACGAATTTTAACCTTACCTAACAGTGTCAACTATCATGAATTCCTATAGCGATGGGTCAAAGATATATCTGGCCACGGATGCTCGTGTTTTTTTGCCAAGAAGCAAATTCTTCGAACCTATTATGACGTTTCCGAATATGTTTCAAGTTGAAGTGCACATCATTTAAAGAGGATTTCGTTGATAGGAAATAATAATCATCCTGCAATATTGGACCCAAGTCTCCAAGAGACTCCATGAAATTGAAGCCTTTATTTTCAATATACTCTTGGGCCGTGTGAGCTGTATTCAGAAGCTGAATGAATTGGGTAGAGACACGATTTGGTCACTCTGTGTTGAGTGCGAAGCCATAACGTGTAATCGAAAAGTTTATTGAGAACTAAGGAAAGAATCAGAGAGAAAATTATAGGGCGACTGGAGAACCTTCTAGGCCTGCAACAGAACAAGGATCTTTAAGAAACTATAGGGTTGAGTAAAAATCAAGTGAGAATTCTTACCAAGGTCTCGTGGTGTATCACAGATTCAAGGGATACCTCAGTATAAGCTGGACGTAGAGAGCGAAGGCACTTTGACATTTTGCCGAAGGAGAAAGAAGACCTCAGTACACTTTCTTGGAAATTGTAATGCTTCCGTTCATAGTATAAATGCTTGGGAATAGTGTACGGATTCTTGTTCGAAGCAGATTTACTAGGGATCTATACACTTCAAATCCTCAAAATGTACCTGAGCTCTTCAGGAGCGAGGATCTCGAACGATTTCTGCAGTGAAACGCACACGATTTCCATGAACACTAATTAATGTGTCAAAACGGAATGCAAAGAATTTGTGCAACAGCAAAAGTCTATAGTTATGCGAAAAATAGGAAAAGAAGAAAATACTTGCTACAAAATCATCTATAAATTTTATACCACCCTGTGTTTCAATATACTCATTTATTATTACTAGTTCTATATACATAAATATATAGTCAAATTATACACCTAATAAGAGTCTAGATGCAATTTCATTGTCCTTTAGTTTTCTTTTTTGTTTTCAATTATGTATTAAGAACTAGAAATATAGACAATATAGTAAATATGTTGGTAGGTAATATTCATAAAGGATTATTATCCTAATGGTATTCGCTTCTATTCAATTAGGCGTCAAAAGGACGATGATTTTAAGTTAATTTTTCTGTTTTCGTTTTTGTCTTAGAAAATTTTACACTTACATCCTTTCATTTGAAAAAAAAAAATTTTATGATTTTAATTAGAAGCTTTTAAGATTCCTTTTCGAAAATCTTTTGTATTTTAAAGGAATTCAATTTTTTTCTGTTTTATAGTTCTAATGAAAATTTTTATTGTCCTGTAATGTAAAATAACTACTCATATGAGAATTTTAATGTTTTCCGTTAGCTTTTGTTTGGTGTTTTTAATTTTAATTTTCGTAGTTTCTTAATTAATAGACTAAGAAATTTGACAAAAGGTTTATTATCTTTGAATACAATAACCTTTTTTTGTGGCACTTGTTTTATTTTTAAGAAAAACGTATTATTAATAATTAAAATAATTGAATTTTGCATTCACTTGGTTGCTATTGTCATAAAAAATTATTGATATGGAATCCATTTTAAAACGCCCGATTTACAATATACATCTTTGTCCAATTACCCAAAACTAAAGAAACGTTGCACATTTTTTTTCAATTTACAGGATAAATTTGGCACCTTTACAGAACAAAGCTGGCTAAATGCGTCTTGAGATTTCTGACATTTAATTTCTAAATAAATTTATTTAAAATTCTGAAAACAGAAAAATATTTAATAATTTGCATATTTGATAAATTAAATAAAGATACTACAAAAGAAAAACACTGTCAACTCAAAAGATTTCCGCATTAAAACGTAAAAATTCTACAATTAAATAACAACGTTAATCCATAAAAATTTGTTCTTGAACTTTTTTACATTTTCAACAATGCAATTTTCACTCTTAAGTAATTTCACTATAGTAGACAGAAAATATTTCAAGATTTTTCATTTACAAGTTAGAAATAATAAAATTTTTAAGAATTTTAACGAAAAAAAAATTGGATAAAACCACAAAGGATTTAAAATTTGCATAAAAATGTCAAAAATAGAATTATGGACATGTCATAAAATTTATTTTACATTTTATTTATATTTAAAATCACAAAGCGCGATCTGATCGCCATCTGGAAACAGTAACTTACTATAAAAATGCGTTTTGAATTTTTGACAAATTTTTTCTCTTTTACAAAATGAATGAATCGTTACGGAATTCTTGTTGTTTTTTTTCTCAAATATTTAAGTACAAAAAATTCCGCTTTTATATTAAAATCGCTGCGGACGCGTCATCGTCTCTAAAGTAAAATAAATATTTTATTAAGCGAATATTTTAAAATAAATTTTTTTTCCGTAGTTTATTTAAATTACATAAAATGTCTGATTATTAAATAAAAAAAAAAAAACAAAAATAAAATAATATTATAAAATTAAACGAAGATTAAGGTAAATAAGGTTGTGTCAAACTAATGGTTTGTTAATTAGCAATTTTCCCTTCAGCAACTGTTGTTAAAAACAATACGAGTATTCATTTAAGTTATTTAAATTACTTTCATTCATATACGAAAATATTTCAAAAATTACATACATTTAGGATAGGATAAAAGAAAATTTAAAGAACTGCTAACATAAGTGTGAATTCAAGGGTTAATTACTTGAGTCAAGGTAAAAAATTATATTTTTTGATGGCGTGAAATATTTATAAAAATGGATAGTTTTTGATGGATTGATAAAAATTTTGGGAGAATCTTTCTCGTACAAAAACGATTTATATATAAAATTTCAGCTGTCAATATCAAAGGACGTAAAACTTTTGAAAGCGGGTGCACGGACTGACTGGAACATAGCGAAAAAGTAAAATTTATTTTTTAAGAAAAAGAGAGAGAAATAATTTTTTTTTGCATTTATTTCCTATTGGGAATTTTTGTTTATTTTATAGTGTTTTTCCACCCTATATAATTTTGAATTCCCATTCTGCGGAGCTTCTTCAGCATATAACACATTCTTTGTTTACCGTTATAAAAATATAACATTTTTACCGTTAATAAAAATTATAATAATAAAATTTAAAACAAAAAAATTGTTTTAAATGCCTTTGTGACAGTTATTTAAACAGTTTTAACAGCTTTTTCTAAATTAATGTTTTACTCATTTTATTCATTTTTTTTATAACATTAACCAACACACACACATACACACACAAATAAAAAGAGAACATTATAATAAAGAAGAGATTTTCTATGAAAATTCTCCAATACAAAATCAAATTAAATGGCGTACCTCTTTCTTCTTTTGCATGCCAATTTTATTTCTAAAAAGAAAAAATAAATAAATAAATATGGTCATTCATCAAAGCTGTCCAGTTAACAATAAATCCTGTCCTTTTTTTCCTGTTATCTACAAAATATAAGGTTAGAATTTACTACTATACCACTGGAACTATGTATAGCAATTTTATATATGAAAATTTTTGACTTTATATACCGTTATTTCTAAATATTATCATATATAGACTTGCAAAATATACCAACGGCATTTAAAGTTACTTGTAATATTCGTCGCAGGTTCTAAAAATAATATTGAAATCTATAATACGTGACCATTGTATATTAACTTGACATATTTAAAATATCATGTTTATTTTTTTTTTTATTTCCATTTTTTCTAGTTTAGTGTTGTTTTTTTTTTTTTGTAATTTATTGGGTCCCTGATGGCCTTGTTTAAAGAAAGGATATATTTGTATATTTTGATTGTATATATAGATAGAATAGAAATATTTGAAGATTAATGAACAAAATAATGATGAGTCAACTTAAATTTTTTGATTTTGATTACAAGCTTTAAAGAAATCACAATTTCGAAAACAAAGAAAAATGAAGGAATTTGTATGACAAAGCCAAGTATTAGGCAATTTAAAAACCCTTCTTGAATTTGTACACTGAGAACTGATTTAACACATATTCTGAGAAAAAATTCGTACGTGAAAATTAAATTTTACACGATAGGAAGTTGTTGTGAATAAATAATCCAAAA